TCCCCAGGTGGTTTTCCTGTGCTTACTGAAGCTTCATCGTGTCTTGGCCATGCCGCTCCCATCTTCACTGGACTTGAAATGGGGTTGGATCCCTCTCATTACATTGAACCTGAGTCTTTCTGGGATATATGACAAGCCCTCATTTCCCAATTCTTCTCCAATGAGTACCACTCAGCCACTTCTGCTGGAAGGACTGAGAGCATCGAGTCATACTCAGGTCCCAGAATTCTGATTAAGCCCCCAAGACGTCAACTTCAATTATTTCTGCCGGTCGCTCCCTTATGAGAGGGGAAATGTACCTCCTTCTCAAACGGTTATCAGATGGGTGGGCTGCAGCTATCAGTTACTCCCCGTGTACAAGCCCTGGCTAAATCTCACTTGCTGTTTATTCCCTCCTGGGCCAGAGGTTAACCTGTTAAGTTGAGAGCTGATCCCCAAACAGACATTAATGTCTTAATGCATTTAGCGGGTTGTGGATCTTTGCGGCGATGGATCTGAAGGAACGTATTGTTTCTTATAACTCGGCGAGGTCACCGATGGCTAAGGGCACCTGGAAGGCTTAAGTAAACATAGCTCAGCTTACCTCTAGCCCCCCTCAGTTATTATTTCAAAGCTATACATCACTCTACTGTTAAAAAAAAAAAGAGGTTCATGTGTCTCAAAATTTTCAGAAGGAACCAATAAGAACAAAACAAGCAGCCTTTGAAGGCTTCCAAGGCGTCCCTCGTAACTGTGTTGTTGTTTCAGGAGCCGGTATTGCAGCTTAACAGGGTGGCCATTTTAGAGGAGGAAATGGATTTGAGTGTCACCTTTCCACACCTCCTGCTTCGTATTAGCAGCAGAAAAGAAATGCAGAGGTGCGTTCTCCGTTTGGTCCTCAGCTTCGTGGGGATGCAAGCAAAACGTCTGGCATTTTGACACAATGAAGTAGCTGAAACTGCCACCTACATAGCTTTTAAAGAGGGGGACACTGGGCTTTTCTGACTTTATTTTATGAGAGAGAGAGAGAGAGAGAGAGAGAGAGAGAGAGAATGCCATCAGTGTTAAGGGGGGAGAGGGAAATACCATGTTGTTGAACAGCATAATATCAACAATAAAATCACATTCATAAACAGGTACAAAAGTACATCGCAAACTGGTAGAGTAGCTTAATAGATCAACATAGCTGAATCAGGGAAAATTCTGGGTGAACTGATGGGTTTTTAAGCAAGCAGTTAAATGCCAGAATTGTAGGTGCTCAATGATGATGATGATGATGATGATGATGATGCAGAATTACCCACTCTTCATCCTGAGGTCCCAGGCTGGGTCACAACATTAAAAAATAGTTTAAAGCAACATAATATTTGTTGGGAGTGCAGTATTGTTTTAGGGTTGAGAAGACTGCGGAAACAGTGGGGATTCCCTCAAAACAAATTTTCATATGCAGAACATAACTGCAACAAAACCATTTCAGAATCCCTTGAGTTGGACGAAAGGTGCTAGGGACCTTAAGTTAAGACCTTAAGTTAAAATTAGAAATTTCTCCAGACTCTTTTTTAAAAAAATAATAATAAAAATCCTTCGCTTGAAATTCATGCAAAGACAAATTTCTGAATCCATGTTGAAACTGGTTTTGGGTGAAATATGGTGACAATGTGAACTTCTTGTTCATCATCATCCTCTTCTTCTTCTGTAAATTTGACTAATTGGGTCTAAGCAGTGCCCTTTTTTTGAGAAAAATAGGTGCTGGTACTCACTATGAAGTTGTTAGAGTTATGCCACTATTTTTAACAACAAAAAAGAGGTGTTGGTACTGTGTACTCTTGAGTACCCCCTGAAAAAAAGTACTGGGCCCAAGTTCATTGGGTGCCACTTCAAAATTCCTCACAATGCTCTCTTGAGGAAAGGGCCATGTCAACATATTTTACTGATTAAAACTGGGCCCAGATGGCACCCTCTTTCCTAGCACCAACAAATTAAAAATTCTTGCTGTACCAAGCTCTCCCTCCCCCCCCCCCCACTGTCACTGAAAACAGGTTGCACCATCCCGTTGCACAGCAGAATCAGGCTTGGTCTAAGGAGAAATGCCCAAATCTGGTTCAAATTTCATTTCAGGCAAGAAGCCAACAGCACCTTGATGCAAATCATTTCCCAAACTGAGGGCTGGCACCAACTCAAGGAGCACACACAATAGTGGAGCAATGACAAAAGCTTCATGTACTTGCTGCAGTGAGAAGGTTGGTTTGCTCAATTCTGTGGTGAGGAGGCTATGGACAGTGTCTTGCCCACTAGCACTCCAAAAACCTGGAGCTGGTACTGTAGCCTTATTCGACTTTACCGATTGGTTGGGTAAGCATTGCTCCCGGACGGGAGGAAGGAAGTCAAACGACACCGAGGTTTGGTTCAGAGAAAGAGTTTATTCTGCTCTCGGGATAGCAGAAGGCACTTGCGTGGTCAGTCCACAGCAAGTCCAAAGAAATGAGAGATTCCGTGCAGTATATATATCCTCCAGGCACCCTCTCCCCCCTTCCCCAGGAATCCAGCCATGCAAGCTTATACACGTAAGTTGACATCACAGATGTTCCTGCTCCTGTACTCTTAACCATAAAAGGGTATTCCTGTTCCTGTACTCTAGAACATAAAAGGGTGTTCCTGTTCCTGTATTCCTTATCTTGGGGTAAGAAGGTTACCAACTCTAAGAGTACTCCTGGCGCCATTCCCGGGGGGCTGACAAGTTCTGTGCATCATTGTGGTCAGATGTGTCATCCCTGCTCCACTTTGGAACTGGCAAGGCCATTCATTAGGCGTCACTGACTGATAAAAGAGAGAGCTTTGTTTATACAGCTGTGTTCTTGTTATGCATCTGCTCAAGTGCTCAAGTTAATGGTTTTTAGCTAATGCACCCTTGGAGAAGGAAAAATGAGGATTTTGGGGCCCGTTTCAGACTGCCTGCACAGTCAGATTTTAGAATGGGAAACCCATCCCCCTTCAGTACTACCTCAAATTCAATTCCAAAAGGTTCAGGACTGATAGACAGAAATTTCCCAAATCCAAGAGGAAGGGCTGTAGCTCAGTGGTATAGCATCTGTTTTGCCTTCAGAAAGTCCCAGGTTCACTTCTCAACATCTCCAGGTGGAACTGGGAATGTCACCTGTTCTAAAACTCTGGAACAAAAGAAGATCCTGCTGGATCAGGCCAAAGGCCCATCTAGTCCAGCATCCTGGTCTCACTGTGGTGAATCAGATGCCTCTGGGAAACATGCAAGGAGGACCTAAGGTCAAGAACACTCTCCTCATCCTGTGGCTTCCAGCAGCTGGTATTCAGAAGCAATACTGCAGTTGAGTATGGAGTTAGTGGCCAGTCTAGGCACTAGACAGCGGTGAGCTTGGTGGGCCAATGATCTGAGCTGGATAAGCCACTGATCGGACTTGGTTTGAGGCAGCTTCCTATGTACCCAAAAGTCAAATGTCGGTTCCAGAAAGGAGGCAAAACCATGCTGCTTTGCATTTTTGTGAAATGTCATTGAAGCTCCAGCGGGTTTCTTACCATTCATTCTTAAGTGCAGCCTCCTCTGTATGCCATGAGCAATCAACCTGCATTTAGATCTTATCAAATTTCAAGCTTTCCTAGTTTGCCCCAGCTAAATGGACCAAAGGGACTTATCTCCCTTTATAATCTAAAATGAATTCTTATCAGATGACAGGCGCCTGGTTTAAGACCTGGGATCTTGGAAGTCCTTGGTGGGAATCTCATCTCTCTCCCATACTCGCCAGTATCTGGGTTATTTTTTGTGGCTCTGTGGGAGCAGATGTTGTCAGAAGAGTGTTGAAATTTGAATGAGGACACCTGGGTTCTCAAAGCCCTGCTAAGCCTACCTGACAGGGTTGCTATGAGGATGAAAGTGGTCTGGGAACATGTATGCTCCCCATAACATCTTGGAGGAACAGCAGGATGTAAAAATAAAACATGGAGACAACAATACATACTCTACTTACAGGGAAGTTGTTGCATTAGTTTGGTTATCTCATAGCACGCAATAAGTGCTTGAACTCCCTAATGAGGAATGCTCTTGGACTCCAGCTCCCATCAGCCCCGGCCAGCACAATCAATGGTCAGGGATAAAGGGAGTTGTAGTCCAGCAACACCTGGAAGGTTACAGGTTTTCCATGCCTGTTCTAAGTCATGGAATCATTGGGTTGACTTTGGTCCTAAAATGGGAGTAGCATAGGAGATTATAGATCACAGGAACATACATGGGAAGCTGGAATGTGAGTCAGAACATTGCTCCATCTAGCTCAGTATTGTCAACACTGACTGGCAGCAGCTCTCCAGGTTTGAGGCAGGGAACATACTCATCCTTATCTGGAGATGTCAAGGAGACGTTTTGCATACATAGGGAGCTGCCTTACATTGAGCCAGACCATTGCTCTATTTAGCTCAGTGTTGTTTACTGTTAAGTGAAACGTTTCTCAGATCCTGGGAAATTGAACCTGGAGTCAGGAGTTCAGCCTACACTTGAGTAGGACTCTGGCCGAGACACATGCCCGACTGGCATGTTCCCTCCCTCCTGGTTGATCGTTTGGGAGTTTCATAAGCTTTCTTCAGCCCGAACATCACAGCGACCAATGCCAACCGACACCGGCACACTTAGAAATCCGCAGAGTTGGCGCAACTTGCGTGTGACAGACCTCAGCAACTCAGTGTTTTGGCTAATCTACTTTATTTACATATCAACACACACGGAGCACTGCAACATGGCTCCCTCTCTTTCTAGCATCAGACAGCAAAGAGAAAAGGAACAAAGGACAATAGTCCCACTTCACCGTAACACAAGCATCCTGTCTCCATCACTTCCCACTCTGTGGAGTCAAAACATACACTGTCATGTGATAGACCATAATCCCGTGACTGTAATCATAGATCAGGGCTTCTAACACCTGGCTCCTTCTACATGCAAAAAAAGAGATGTTTTGCTCTTCTCCAGGGTTTCAGACAGGAGCTTGCCCTTCAGTCCTACTTGGAGACACCAGGGATCGAACCTGGGACGTTCTGCATGCAAGACAGATGTTCTACCACTTAGTCATCACCCTTACAAAATAGGAACAATGACATCCACCTCATGTCAAATCAAACAGTTGGGCAATCTATTGCCCAGCCTCACCAGCAGAGCTCTCTCCCAGTCCTCCTTGGAGGCACCAGGGATTGAACCTGCGGCCTTCTGCATGCAGAGCAGATGATCTGCCACTCAGTTATGGCTCCTTCCTCTATGGAGCTTGAGAGAATCCCCACAACAGAGGCCTCACATGACCTGACGCCTCTTCCATTGAAGGAGCATTACGGACACACATTCCTCAGCCCATGTGGCTTTCACTGGGAGTGGTGAGTCACCGGGGGCTTCCGAGGAGCCGACAAGAGGGCGATCTGGGGCAGCCACACGTTTTTTGGAGAAATCATCACTTGCTTGAGAAAGAGAGACAGAGACAAATATTTTGTTGTTCCAAACAAGCTCGACTCCTGAGGGCAAGTCCCAAAGCCTCACATTCCAACACAGGACACAGTCCCACCTTAGAATACCGTTCCTTCATCATCATTATTCTTATTATTTTAAAAAACCAACACAAATTCTTGCTTGTGGGCATGCATGAGAAGGGCGAGGGGGAAGCAGGAGCAAACTATCCTTGGCACACACACCCTCCTGCCGGGGCGAAGAGAGAAGGAAAGCTCCGGGGCTGTCAGCCTGGCACCTCTGGGAGACACAAAAATTCCCCCCTTCCCCACCAAAACATGCATGTTTAAAGACAAACATGGCATTCCACTTGCCAACCCTCAATCATTTTCCCCCCTTGTTGTGGCTCTGGGCTTAATTAGAGCTGGCAAGGAGCGATGGGTGTGGATTCCTTTTCTGGCTGCCTTGCCCAGCGTTTGAAGCCGAGTCCAGGGGAACTCCGGTGGGCATGGTAAGATTTCTACCTTTGGGGGAATCATGTTCAGAGAAGGGGGGCAGGACTGCTCCGTTATGAGTCTCCCACTTGCAATTACACTTCTTTGTGGTTTGCCCACCGGCTTTCCCTTGGCTCCATTAACGGAGGTTGCTTTTACCTCTCTCAGGATCTCTCACATCCATGTCTCTGGCTGGTGTGATTTGGATGCAAGCCTGCTCCTTTCGCCCGCTTTCATTGAGCCACTCTGCATGTCAACTTGACCAGAGGTGGGATTAAATTGGTTTTGCAGTTCTTTTTTCTTTTCCGTTCTCTTTTTTTTACCCCTTCTCAAAACAGGAGTCCTTGAAAGTAATTGCTTCTTGGCTCTGTTTCACAAATTTGTTTACTTTCCAGACGTCAGGTGAGCTTGGAAAACCAGCAGAGTAATTCCTGGGAATTTTTTTTATTTTATTGCAGGGATTGGGAAGCAGTCAATGAGAGTTTGCCCCAGGCTACATTCACACCACACATTTAAAGCACTGTGATGCAGATTTTAAACAGTCATGGCTTCTCCCAAAGGATCCTGGGAGCTGTAGTTTGCTAAAGATGCTGAGAGTTCTTAGGTAAAGGTAACGGGACCCCTGACCATTAGGTCCAGTTGTGGCTGACTCTGGGGTTGCGGCGCTCATCTCGCTTTATTGGCCGAGGGAGCCGGCGTACAGCTTCCAGGTCATGTGGCCAGCATGACTAAGCCGCTTCTGGCGAAACCAGAGCAGAGCACGGAAACGCCGTTTACCTTCCCGCCGGAGAGGTACCTATTTATCTACTTGCACTTTGACGTGCTTTCAAACTGCTAGGTTGGCAGGAGCAGGGACCGAGCAACGGGAGCTCACCCTGTTGCGGGGATTCGAACCTCCGACCTTCAGATCGGCAAGTCCTAGGCTCTGTGGTTTAACCCACAGCTCCACCCGTATCCTAGGAAGCCCCTATTCCCCTGCCAGAGCTACAATTCCCAGAGCTCCCTGTGAAGAGGGACTGATTATTAAACCACCCTGAGAATGGAAGTTCTGCTAGGGGAATAGAGATCTCCTCACAACTCTCAGGAGTCTTAACAAACTGCATTCAAAATAAAGCCTTGTCGTGAAATTTTACAAGCAACCAAACTAACACTACAGAAACCAAACAAACTCCTCTACGGGTAGAACTTTGGAAAGGTACTCAAATGACAAGGGTTTGGGTTAGATGACTCAGGGTCCCTTCCAACACTACAAATCTATGGTTTTATTAAACCCTGTAGAGCCTTTGTGGGTCAATATAGAGACATTGCCGAGCTAGAAGAGCCAATGATCTGTAGAAGTTCCCCTGCCCTTTGGGGTTTTTTGCTCTGGAGCTTTTGCTGCAAAACCCCACCCTTTCATTGGAAAAAAACGAATTGATGTTTGCTCTCATTGAGTGCTAAAGAGTGGGTTTTCATGGGGAAAGCTTTGGGGCAAAAGAAAGAAAGAAAAAAGCTTGGACATGGAGCTTTTAAGCATGGACCTGTGCCTGGGAAGAGCGTGACAAAAGGTAAGTGTGGATAAGCCCTACATTGCAATGGCCCCCATGCCAAAATTTGCATCTCTTCCTGCTGAATGGATGGCACCGTTCTGCAGGAATACACGTAACACTGCAGCCTCTGAATGAGAGCTGATCTCACACAGCGGTTGACGATGGGAACCTGAGACACCAGTTCCATTCTTCTTTCAGCCTGCAGCTGACCCCATGCTGACCAAAGTGATTCCAACCCCAACCCACGTTATAAGTGAGATAATAATGCTGGCCTACTTTGGAGAAGAAGGGGAAGGGAATGAAGGTAACACATACACACACACAAAACACACAACACACACACAATCAATCTGATATTTTCCTTATAATATTTGTTGCTTGTGTGCTGCTTTGTTTATTCATTATCTGAAATTAATGAGCAGAGCTTCGGAAACATTAGCTCCCAAACACTTCACTGCTCCTGCCTCAAGTAAATATCCAGCGCGCACCAAGTCATCAACAGGGTAAATAAGAGAACAGATCTTTTCCCCTCGCCATTCTCCTTGGTGATTTAAAAGCCAGGACAATCACCACCGAGTCAATTTCCATTGGAAGAGGGGCATCAGGATGCATGTGGACTGTTGTAGTTACTGCTGCTGCTGTTACCTGCCCTTCATTAGCAGGTGGCAGGGCGAGTCACAACAATCTGAAACTCAGAAATAGAAACAGTTAAAACAGAAGACAGTCATGAGAATTTATGGCATTAATGGCATTTAATGTGCAGGTTGGGCCCACCTATCTGTTTCCAGCAGCGGTCAATTACTGTATTTTTTGTCCTATAGGACACACCTTTTCCCCTCCAAAAATGAAGGGGAAATGTGTGTGCGTCCTATGGGCGAATGCAGGCTTTCGCTGAAGGCTGGAGAGCGAGAGGGGGCGGTGCGCACCGACCCTTCTCGCTTTCCAGGCTTCGCGCAGCTCTCCACAAGCCGTGGGAGCCCGCACCGGGCTCCCATGGCTTGCAGAGAGTTGCCTGCATGCTGAAGCCTGGTCGCGCTGAGCTCAGCATGCCCAGACTTTACACAGCTCTCCGCAAAGCGCGGGAGCCCGGCGCTGGGCTCCCATGGCTTGCGGAGAGTTGCCTGCATGCTGAAGCCTGGTCGCGTTGAGCTCAGCGCGCCCAGGCTTCACGCAGCTCTCTACAAGGCACGGGAGCCCGGCACTGGGCTCCCATGGCTTGCGGAGAATGCTTGTTCTGGGGGCTGGGCGCGCTGAGCTCAGCACGCCCAGGCTTCGAGCTTCGTGCAGCTCTCCGCAAGCCATGGGAGACGGAAGCTTGGGCTTCCTCCACCCCAGCCTGGGGGGGAAATAATTTTTTCCCTTTATTTCCCCCCCAAAAAACTAGGTGCGCCTTATGGGACGGTGCGTCCTATAGAGCGAAAAATACAGTAGATGTTCCAGGAAAGGCGACAAGCAGGGCTTGAAAGCAATAGACCTCTGGTGTCCAGAGGTCTATCTTCTCAGAACATGAAGGTTCCCTATAGCTTGGAGGCATCTATGAACCAGGAAGTAGTGACCACTTTTCTTGGATAATCTCAGAGAATGATAGAGCAGAAGGTACAAAACAGATCACTGATAGTAAGAGGATGCTGAGAAACCCATGCACATTAATAAAAAGTTAAATAAATATGCCACTCTTGCCCACCCTCAATTTTCAGGGGTCAGGGGTTTGAATGGGCAGTGCACCTGCTTCCAGAAAACGTGAATGATTCCCTGATATGCATTATCTGAATTCTTTCCCCCCCACCCTTGTGAATTGTTTGCCAAATGATAAGGGTCTTTGTAGCTGAACAAAGTGCCACATTTACCCATCGCTTATATGCATGTTAATGGTTCCCCTACTCCCCCGCAACACACCTCTTCTTTGACAATTGTATTTCTACCCTTTATTTTGGTTTCCTTCCCTAGCCCCGTCCCGATGCCATATTACATTCTCTAATTTCCTTTTATCTTCTCTTTATTTTTTGCAATGTCTCAGGACGTGTCTCTATAAGACAAGTTAATTTAGTCAATTACTCCAGTTTGGTTACAGATAAGATCTTTAATTTATCCAGGCCCCTCTTTATTCTTTCTAGGATCCTCTTTTCCATTAATTTCATGAAACATTCTAATTTTCCATTTTAGGGACGAGCTCATTTCACCCGCAGACACGTGGACAGGCAGAGATGCGGAATCGGCGCTATCAATTTCCCAGCTATGGCACTGAGGAGGGGTGTTTGTGTGTGTGCGTGTGTGTGTGTGTGCTTCTTTGAGGTTCTGCCTTCATTATAATTGCTATCTGCATTTCTGTTTGCTTTCTCTGCTCTTCCCAATCACGTCTGCCATCACCAGCTGCCCTCCGTGCCAATTCCTCATCTCTCTGTCCTGCCGTAGTTACACCACGAATCTCTTTAGAACTGCTCCAGGGTTAGAAATATGGAGATGAACCCACCCGAGAAGGGCAGGTGATCATTGTGGAACAGCCAAGTCACAATTGTAGGGAAGCTAACAGGGTTCATAGGTGATTTCATTTTATCAAGTAGGAAATATTTCATTAAATGTGAGTCGATCCAAATGTGTGAAGCTGAGTGGGGGGTGGGGAAGGAAGCAAAATTATTGCCTGTTATCCTTTATACGAATCTATGGGTGAGAAAAGAGCAGACAAAAAGTTCAAGGGGATGGAGCGATTCACCTATGACGAAGGCATCTGTGGCCTTTAAGTTTAGAGGGAAAACAAGTAAGAGAAACCTGACATAACACTAGAATTCATGC